ATGTTGAGAAGCAATGGCTGTAGAACAAAAGAGATTTAGGTTGGCTGTAAGGGAAAAATGTTCTCCTCATTAATCTGGTTGAGTAGAGTATGGCCGGAGAGGTTGTACAAGCTTCATATGTGGAGATTATCAAACCCAACTGGGTGAAGCTCTGAGCAGTGTGGTCTGACCCCTGCTTGGAGCAGGAGAGTGGACTGCATACTTCCCATTCCTTTCCAGTCCATATCATGTTGCGATGCTCTGATGCGTGGAAGAATAGAGAGCCCAAGCCAAAATTGAATATGAAATACCCTAGTTGTAGTTCCAAGGAGATAAGATGCTTTCAGTATATTTTTTAGTGTTTCTACATTAAACGTTCTATCTTAAATGTTGGTTCACTTATCCCCCTCCTTCCTTCACTTACTATAAAGCAGACAGAAGTTAAGGATCATGATCTAATAGCTTTTATCCAAAATTCATGCATCTGTGCAAATATCCTTTTTGAATCATAAGGGTAGAGCAGCAGGAATAGGAAATTATAGCCCAGGAGCCTGAGGAATGTTTTCTTTTGAGCATCTGGGGAAGATGCTGTTCTTAGCAGTACATAGATAGGAGGAATATGATAGGCACAAGGCAGTGTGGCTACTGCGTTCTTAAAAATCAGATCTACTTTACATAATCTACTACTTAAAGTATTTCCAAAAATTTTTTCTCAATACACTGTGGGTAAGTAAGTCAGACTTTCTCTTCCTAACACTTACTGTCAAGAACAACTTGTAAACCATGTTTATTTTTAACTTATCCATTTATAGTGTATATTGTAATATGCATAACCTCTGGCATAGGTGTACCATGTCTGGTCTCAGCAGTGAGTGATGTTGATTGGAAGGTGTACTGAAAGTGTGCAAGGCAAGCTGGAAATAGAAGGTCAAGTGTTAATTGGAAAGGAAGGGCAGCAGCTTGTGATCTACCCCGCATCTCCCTCTGTGTTAATGCTAGAGTTATAAAACAGCCGATTGTTCCTGTTTGTCTCTAAACTGACTGTATCTTTAGATAGAGAAGTGCAAGGAGGTAAAATCAACAGGCTATGAAGCCTTGTTTCTTTGTTTTTTTTTCAGGTATGTGCACATATCACTGCTAACAGTGTGTGTTTAAGAGCTTGTAAGCACTTGGCTTCAGCACAGCTGGTTATAGTGAGACCAGACAAAGAGGCTCTTTGACTGATATTGATTTAACCTGGTTGGTGTCTTGGTGTAATTTGCACCTTGTCTGTACTAATAACATCTGAAGGGTGTTGACTTCCTGATTCTAGAAATGCAAGTGTTGCAATTGCCCCTATAGCAGAAATCTCATGGGTTTAAAATATTCATTGGATAGTAGTTGGTGGAAGCCACGCCTTTAAAAGGCTTAATTCATGCTGCAGTTCATTTTAATGCAGGGGGTGACTTTAGAGGTGGAAGTGTTTGAGAATGAAAATGTTTGTCCAAGGATGTTTCTCTTCCAAATCTCTGAAGAACAAGAGGGCGTGCCCAAAGGAGCAGGGTGATCACTGCTGATGTGACTCTACTTCAAGTGATAGACCATCACAAACAATGATGATGCTTTGAGCCCAGAATAGTTCACTTAAAGCAGTCCGGCAGTCTGTAGAATGGCTTTGGCCCCTTGTCCTCTTCATCTTAAGGCTCATACTTCTGGCTGCTGAAGAATATTATACCAGTAGCTAAAAATGAGTGAGTCAGCCTTCTCACCTTGGCATTAAATTTTCTGTTCCTGCTACAGACATTTCTTGTTTCTCTGTGTATATTATTAAAGGCAAAGTTTGTTTGTTTGGGGGGGAAAAAAAAAAAACAAAACACCCACAAAACAATGGAATCTAATAAGTTTGAGACCATACAGTAACAGGCAAAGACTAGAACAAGTTTTTATCAATCTCTTAAAGACTAGTCTTTAACTTCTCCTATCTTTGCTCAGTTTATAAACGTT